AAGAAAAACAAAAACAAAAAAAAAAAAAAACTGAAAATACGTACTCAAACATAGCAGCAATATTTACAACAGACAATAGGTGGAAATAGTCCAGTGTCCAAAAACTGATTGATAAATGGGAGCCTATATGTGTAGGGGATATTAGCTAGTCATAGAAGGCATGCAGTATTGATATGTGCTACAAGACACCAGAAGGCGGACACAAAAAGCTGCATTGTATGGTTCTACTTACAGGAAATACACAGAACAGGTGAACCCACAGGGCACAGCACAGACTGCTGGTTGGCAGAGGCTAGTGGAATAAGGAATGGAGAGCGGCTGCTTGATGAGCTACCAGGTTTCCTTCTTAGGGTGATAAAAATGCTTCAGAACTAGAGAGAGGTCGGGGCTGCTCAGCCCTGTGAATGCAGTGAATGCCCCTGAACTGTTCATTTAAAATGGTTTTGTCATGTTAATTTTACCGCAACAATAAGAACTACAAACAAGTTATTAGAAGCGTTTCACCAACATTTTATTGATGTCAATGATTACACTGGATGCAACAGCTTTAAACTCTGAGTGTGAAGCAGGCCTAAAGATGGTGCTAATGAAGCAGAAGATGCTATAGAATATTCTTGGAAGTTAGAGATTACTTATTTGGAATACATACTTTCCAGTACTAGGGATTGAACCCAAAACCCTACACTTGGTAGGCAAGTACTTTGCCACTGAACTACATCCCCAGTTCTTGCTTCAAAACTTTGAGACAGGGTTATACGAAGTTCCAGAGGCTGGCTGTGAATGTGCGACTTTCCTGCAGTGTGCTCGTGGTGTTGGGATTACAGGCAACGACAACGTATTGTTGTTTTTTGTTTTTTTTAAGGTATAGAGTAAATATGTAATAAGCAATAAATGTTACTTCTCTAAAGGTACTGATTAAAGATATGGCCTGATTAAAATCCCCAGGTTTACCAGCCTGCTTTTCCAGGAAGGTTCTGGACCAATCGAAGGTACTGGTATTTCCCCACACATCTTTCTGTAGAAGACTTGTATCATTGCTGTTTCACTATTTACTTTACTTGTTCGCCCTCTGGGGGCCGGTACTTTAACAACCTAATACACACTAGAGCTGGAATTAGAGGCATTTAGCAATATTTACTGAGCATTTTCTATGTGCTGTGCACCTAGCTGCATCCTGAGTACAGAAGGAAGACACAAGCCCTGATAAAACCAGCACCGAGGACCTACACGTCACTCTTGTATCGTGATTATGTACCGCAAAGGAAAACTGCTGGCGCCAAGGTAGTGCGGTTAGAAGTCTTCTCACAAGAGGCCACATTTAATTCGAAAGGCAACAGGTGACTCTGAGTCTGGAAAGACTGTGTGAGGCTATGGTAGAGTCTGAGCGTTATTTAACCGTCGAACCATTTCCAGGGAAGTGATGTCATTTTGCGTTTTGAAAAGATCATAGAGGCTGGGCGTGTAGACCAGTGGTAGTGTGAGCTGATCCGCTAGCATGGACATCCTGGGTTCAATTCCCAGCACCCTCTCCACAAGGAGGGAGCAGAGAAGGGAAAAAAATATATACGGAGGTGGGGGGAGAAGAGCGCAGCGTTAAGAAACTAGGGGGACATTTGTAGGCATATGAACGTTAAGACAGAAAACAGTGCAAAGCCAAGCGGATGATCCCTTTTTTGTTTTTGTTTCGTTTTTTGAGAAAGGGTCCAGGCTCGCCTCGAACTAGCCGCGATCCTCCTGCCTCAGCGTCCCGGAACTACAGGTGTGCACCACCACTCCTAGCGACCCGGTTTTTAAAAAGAAAAAACAAGCTTCGCTTTGGGGAGTTCTCGCGGGGAATCCCAGGGGCCAGGGAAGGGCTGGAAATCTTCCCGCAGAGCTCCACCGAGGCACAGCCGAGAAGTCAAGCCGCGGATGTGCCTTCCTGCTTCCAGAACGTCAGGGACCGCGCAGGGGCTCCGCTGCGTCCCGAAACGCGAGCAGCTGGACGCAGCCCGCGACGAAAGCGTATCTCGAGGCCGAGGGCGACACGGCTGACAGGCGATCTTCTACCCGTCCACCCGGCCACCCGCCCGGAAGTGCCCCGTACTCACTTCCGCTTCCCCAAGATTCTGTGCTGTCGCGAGAACTGCGAGCGCTATGTGGCCGGGGCCGAGCGGAAGTTGGGCCTCTTTTTCGTGGCGCCTAGAGGGCGGTCGGTATCCTGGAGATGAAGGTAGGAAGAGGTGGTAGCTGCTGGACTAGGCTTGGCGAGTTTGGGTCGGGCCCCAGAACGCAGGGGTGCCACAGTTGCGGCGCTCCGAGATACTGGCTTTAGGTGGGGCAGGGCCCGATGCAGAATCAGGCTCGCTGTGCGGGATCCGCAGGGCCCCGGGAGCGCGGATGGCGGACGATTGCGCCCGGAGTCGCGCCCGAGTCGGCTCGCC